AGTTACCCAAAAGACAGATGTTGCAGAGTGTACAACAACAGGATGAGAAGGAAAATACCTGCTTGTGTCTTTGTCTATACTCTGTTGTGATTTGTTTGCCAATATTGGTTTTGTTCTGGAAGCTAAGATTTTTTTTGTCTCCTTGACCGGGAAGCTTCTGTTTGCCAACTGTGCTGTCACATAATAGTAGCTTTGATGCCAGTTATATGTGAAAGCACTTGGAAAACTGAAGGCAGTGAAGAAAATAACAGCTCATTATCAGAAGTTTTGTACTGCAGGTCTTGCTTGTATCCCTGATACATCTGCAGAAGTTTCTGAGAAAGATTCACGTTTCTATGAGTACCTGCTTGCCAGAGGCAAGTTTTCTGACTGTAGCATATATTGCTTCTCAAACTTCTGCTGTATGGCTATACTCTTGTATAATAGTAATAGCACATTTATGTATCTTTACAGATCTATAACTTCACAATTTTCACCCAATTCCCATTCCCATTTTTAACAAAATAGTTAAATGAGTGAGTAGTCACCTCAGGAAAGGAGCTACCATTTGTACTGCTAGCTAGATGACACACACATCATCAGAAATTAGAAATTGTGATTTACTGTGCAATTATACTATAAAAACAATAAATATAGCCATGAACATGGAGTAGTTAGACTCTGAGCACTATTAGTATCTTATTCATTTATTTTTTATTAATGCAGACACTGGCACTTTTAATTGAGGAAATCTTGTCACTTATTGCTCTTGTCTACTTATGTGTCATAACATTGACTCATTAACATAGATATGGTGTTTCGACTGAAGTTATTAAGAGCAGTAACAAAAGTACCAAGAAGTTTCATTTGAAAAGAATAAGAAAATATTCCATCCTGTCCAATCAGACAGAATATTATTTTATGTAGACAGAATAATATGCTTACCAAAAACTGCAACAGTAACAAACCTTGGAAATTCATTTAATATTTTTGGATTTTGATATTAGCCCTCATTCTGATGAGGAGTATCTGCCATCTGGTGGTTAAACATGCAATTTAAACGTGAAATGTTCAGCCATCAGGGGTTGTCATTATTTTAAGTAAATGTAATAAACTGGGGGCAAAACAGTACTCATTTGGAACAAGTCTGCAAGATTCATCTAATTTTGGTTATCCCAAATAGCTGATGCAAGGAACAGATAACTGAAAATCTGTGTGAATGCAATTGTAAACACACTTTGAAATACTGGAAGTAGTGAAATATGATGTGTAGATTATAAACTCTTAAAATGGAACATGATTACTTTTCCTGCTCTGTGAACTGCAGGGAAGGAGAGGGAAATCGACCAAAAAAATGCAGCAATAAACACGCTTAATTTGGTCAGCCCCAGTCACCAGTGCATGATTTTTCTCAGTGGTGATGATATCTTAGCTAGGCTGCTGAACACAATGAATTGAGAAAACCAAGGATTTGGCAACAAAAAAGAGAACTGCAGCTCGTTGTCAAATTAAAATTGCATGCAGGCATAACTTCAGCCTTTTCTGCCTGATATGTAATTTAAAGCAAGTTAGCACTCCTTACGTTTGTATGTGGATGTAATTAGACCACAGGGAATTTATCAAAATCATTAAACTTCTATTTATTTCTTCCCTCCTTTCGTCTCCCCTATGGCCTTTAGAGGCTATTTTTTTAGTCTTTCCTTCTATGCTTTGCTGCTACCTTGTGGCATGTAGTAGAATCATCATTTAGTGCCCTTTTTTTTTTTTTTTTTTCAGACTTACTGTTAGTAAAAAAAGTTTTAAAGAACTTTTTAAAGCAATGAATACCAAGTGATTCACTTGTACGTAGGCCTCCACTAAGCTTTACCTTGCATTTAAGTATTAAGTTAATTCTCTGCTTTTAACATACAAGTATCACTGATATATATTTCAATCTAAAGCTGCTCTGAGTTTCTTGGCATAGAAAATACTGTTCTAAAAACTACCTGCTTCTGATACAACATTTAGGGGAACAAGATCCTTAAGACACTAGCAAGGAAAATTAGGTATATGTAATTCAGAATAATTCTTATTTATATAATTCACACTTCTCAGTTTTATAAAATAAAATAAATACTCAGTGAATGTGGACTTCTTTCCCTCCTTATCGTATCCCCCCCTTCCACAACAACATGTTTAAGATCTTTCTTTCTTAAGATATTTTTACCATGGGCTTTCCATTCTGTTCTCTTTGGTGTGCATAACATGTATCTATCTGCTTCTTCAGCTTTCATAACCAACAGAAATGACAAAATGTTTATCCTTCCTTTCTTTGCCATATTTTAATATGCACTTCAAATTTCTGCTTCATATTTTCTGAATTTCCTCTGCTTTCTGCTTAGTTTTTGAAGTTAAGAGATGGTTTATACAAGACTGTTACAGAGATTTACAACATCAAAGATGATTGCTATAAGTCGTGTCACTTCTTCCACCATTTATTACGTCTGATTGGTTTCACTCAGATAAAATGCTGCCTCTAGCATGCACACTGAGAATTTGAAGTTGTTGTCTTAACCCTGACTAAAACAAAGCAAATCTGTAAGTACAGTAGTATCATAGGTTACTTCCATCTCTGTATTTGTACCTCTTCACTACAAACAAGACTACAGAAATGTTAAGACTTCTTTCAGTCTAATAACTTTTACAGTAATAGTAGCATAAATGTGTCCCATTCAGCATTTTTTTTAATCCTGTGATGCTCACTGTAGTCCAGGCAATATTTATTGACTGTAAAAATAAATGATAGTAGCTTTCATGTGAAGCTTTGTGTATCTAGTAGGTACTTTCAGATTCTTTATTTACAGTAAATAATGCAGAAATTGAAATTCTGATTATTTTTCTACTCAAGTTAAAATTGCCCACAAAAACAACAAAACAAAACAAAACAAAAAAACAAACGCATTTGTCAGCTCCAGTGATGCTACTAGTTCTGTTGGTGGTTTTTTTTTTTTTTTTTTTTTGGCATTGTACAAGTACTCCCTGGAATTTTCTGTTTTAATGAAGGTTAATTATCACATACTATGAGAGCTCAAATGCAGAGGATAGTCTGATAGTCTTGTAGTGGTATGCTTTTGCATCTGTCTTTTTCTAAACGTTTTTCACCACCTATTTGAAAAGAGATATCAAAAGCCATTGGTTAAAAATATCCTTTTAGAAAAGGGGTTAAAAACCTTTAATTACTGAAAGATGAGCTAAGTGTTAAACTTAGTCAAACAGTTGTTATAACAAGATTACTCTCGTGTAAAACTTAACTCAGTCTTTTAGCATAAAGGTTAATGCATGCAATGTGTCAAAAGCTCACGTAGTTCTAATAAGGTAGTGAATAAATGAAACGTTTCTTTGTTCAGCAATGTCTGGTAAATGTACTAATTCTTAAACCGGTGCACAATTACAATATTTATGGATTGCCGTGCTAGCTCACAAACTTCTAGGTCTGTTCTCCTTTCTGTGTGTCAGCTTAGTCTTTTAAAGTTATCAGTTTCTCCTCTGTGTACAGTACAGATCCAACTATTTAAATAATCTTCTTTTTACTACTTCTTGTATATCTACTATGTTATATATAAATTCTACTGTCCCTTTCCTAATAAGTCACTTGTGGTGCTTAAGGTGTTGTGGAGATCTGCTAACTCCTGTGTGTAAGATGTGTCTGCTGGGTCCCAAACTGCTACTTGCCAGTTTTAACAATTCAGGAACAGATACTGCTTTTGTTGATACTGTACTATGGTACATTTTTTGGCCAGCCTTACACAGGAAAGAGGGGACTTTGTGTATGCAACTAGCCTTACGTTATTATTGCCATGGGTTAGGTGATACCAAGTGAGTATGGCTATGCTTGCCTTCCCCTCTGAATCATTAGGCATGTCTCAAGTCTTCAACAGGTACAGAAAGAAGAGTACCAGCACTCCCTTGGGTAGGCTGGATTAGGGGATGAAAGAAATGGAGAAATTCTCCATAGCTGTGCTACTAACCCTTGGAAGTCCCAGAAGGTGACAGCAGCCTTTGGTCCCACTTCTTATTCCAGTTTGGAGCAAGAAGATCTTCAGGGACATCCACTCCTGGTAGCAAACTTTGATCCCTGTCTAGATGGGGATGAATTCAGAGAGACTGTTTCATACTTACTCTCACTTTCAGAGTCTTTTGACGAAGACCTTTGATATATGAGTATCCATTAGTGGAAAGTGCATTTAAGATGCCAAAATGTCAATAAATAAATAAATAAAAAATTAATGATGAATTATTAGGGAGGAGAGGAGATGGTACACTTTCAATACCATTTTGAAGGTTGATTTAAAGTAAAAACTGATGTTACAATGTACTTATGGGAAGGAAATAATCCAAACAGAAACAGAACTGTTGGAAACGGAGTGAGAGAAGTCTGTCAGAGAATGTTTAAGTAGTAGCTGTTAAAGAAATGACACATCTGATTTTTCTTGGGTGCACAGACATTTGTCAAATTTATAGAAGAATAAGCTGTCCAATGACTGAGAAATACCCATGAAAGTTATAAAACACAAAGCCAAGACATAAAAGTCAGGAGACGCATGTACATAAATAAAAAGAAGATGCATGAGAAGCTTTATGTGTAAAGTTTTGAAATGAAAAATGTGAATATTTTTGTCATAATGATGATAACTTCTTTTCAAGTAAGATATAAAATATTTGTATTAACAGGGGAGTAGTTAAGCTAGAAAAATCTTTCTGTGAGTGGTGTCCAATAAACTCAGAATCCAGGCATGGATCATATTATATTGCCTGAAAAGACTTCCTTCATAGTTGTGTCAGGGAAGGTTATTCTGAATAGTGAATTTATCATATCTCTGGATAGGTAGCAATTTGTGAGCCTGCTATGCTACTGATTATGTAGTCTTCTGATAGGTAAGCCAAATTTTGAACTAAAATACTAGAATGATTTCAAAAAGATTGAAAGAAGTACGTGTGCACACGTAATTTATAGATTTGTATAAATATTTATATGTTTCTAGGGCTGCCAAACCCAGCTGTACACTGGAGGAAGGCTGTTGCAGTTGGATGCCACCGAGTGCAACAGGTTGCAATGCTGTGTACGTATCCCCGACAGGCGCGCAGACCGACAACAGTATGCAGCATACAACGCAGGAACACTCAGCGCTCACAGACAACACCAACAGATTCATCCTGCTTTCCCATTAGGCTGATGAGGTACCAGATCTTTTAATTGGATATATATATATATAGATAGATAGATACATATGTATATATATATATGGCATATATACAATGTTTACGTTAGCTAGGCCTAGGTCTATTCAGTAGCTGGCCATGGATTCTGCCTTCTTCAGTTGTAAGTAATAAGAAAGACATGCCGTATTTATATGAGAGAGAAGCTTGAGTGAAGCATAGGATATTACCAATTTCTTCACGTGAGGCTTAACATCACTTTGGAGACCACTGTTACAGAACAGATCAATACTGCAGTGTGCTACAAGCAGGGGTTTCGTGGCCTGTTATGTGTAGAAGGTGAGACTGGACAGTCACAGCGGTCTTTCTGGTTTTAACAGCTGTTACTCAGTCATTTGACAATGCCACATGTAACTCCCTTCCTGTCTCCTAAGTGAAAAGGAAATTCCAGTTTTTGAAACAGAAATGAGAAAGTGCCAAAAAAATCGAGTATCAGGTGAGGGCAATATCTTGGCTGTTGCTTACCCACCTCACATAGTATAGAAGTAATGTACCATAAAAGCAACACAAGCTCTGTTTATTGGCAACAAGGGAAACTAACCGTGAATTACAGAAAAGGAAACTATCCCCTCAGCTATAACCACTGAACTGCCTCATGATGGTCTGACATGGTAACAGATTTATTTTAAAACCAACTTTTATCATCAATATACCTTGTGGCACCTTGTCTGTGTCTGGTAAGTAAGGAAAGGAATTTTGCTTCACTTTTCTAGAACTGACTGGAAGTGTGAGAGATGGGAGTCTGTTTTTAAAACAAGCCATCTTGCAGTTCTGCAATCGTACAAACATTCCTGCTTTTGAAACAGTGTTTTGCTATCATCTTCTCAGGAAGGGGTAAATGATTAAAACGTGGTACATTGTACAAAGTATCTAAACAAACTGGACAGTTGATATATGGGCTGAAGTAACACGTTAAAATTGTGTTTAACCAGTGAGCCCTGACAAGACTTAATGTTTATCCTTTATTATCCTTTATTTATCCAGAGTTGCCCTTATCCTTTGTTAGCCTGTTCCTACTAAGAAAAATAATTAGAAATGGGGAAAAGAACAAGAATTATACAATCCCTTCAAATGTGGCAAAACTCTTACATGCCACTCCCCTCATCACCAGCCTAAGGTCCTGTACTTTACCTCAAATTCAGCAAGGTTACTTGGCTCAGCCTTCTCTAAATAGCACTCAAAAATACATGACCTCTTCTCCCACCTTACACCCTTCACTTGCCAAACCACCAGCTTGCAGAGCATTCCTTCAATCACTATGCTCTCTCTGAAGAAAAGTCATGCAGGTCATGCAGAAAATTTCTTTCTCAGATAAACTTAAAGTGAACAGCAGACAAATGTATTTATCTGACAATGCATAGAGCAGGTGAAGGAAACATGGCTGCAAATGTACCTTCTCCCAAACCAGCAGCTTCTAGAAAAAGAATATGAGCCCGAGATCATTCTGTACTTTGAGTTCCTGGCACAGTCTGCAGAAATTCACTTGATGAATAGTTAAACTTAAATCATTTTAAAATTGCAGACAAAGAGTGAAGTTAATGCTTATGAGACACATAAACATCTCTGTCATACTGCTGCTCTAATTGGAGTGTTTACAAAAGAGAAGGCTTATTGTAATGACAGACTGTGAAGTTAGTCAAATAGCGTCTATTGCTGGTCAATAACAGCCAATTGTGCTGCCTAGTTACTCACCTTTTTTCTAATCTATGGTTGCTAGCAAGGTTTTGCACTTTATCAGTATTTTTGGCAATGCACAAGGACCTGTATCAGTGTGATGCATAATGTCCTTATTGTTTTTCCATCCATTATGTGTTTCAATATATTCTTTGAAGAATATATGTTAGTCATCTGCAAACGCCTATTTGCTTAAAAGGGCGTTTGTTTTTTTCTTAGTACAAATGAGTACATGTACTTTGTGTGTTTTGCATATTTCCTGGCTTTCCAAAACAATTCAAAGAAATACAGAAACCCTTACAGCTTTGCCAGCTGACGTTTTTTCATGGATCGAAGTCTTGTAAAAGTCTTGTAATTGCTGAATAACTTTGTCTAGCAATTTACAATTGCCTTTGTGTTTAGCGGACTTAACTGTAGATGCCAAAAGGCTCAAACTTTGTCACCTGGATATAACATCCTTCCAAGAAAATGGAGAAGTAGTGCAGCTTCTTACAGCTCCTTGCTGTGTTCTCTCCCTGAACAAAAGATTATTTCTTTGTATGTGTGCCTGATTGACTTTTGCAATTCTGATAAAATATACTCAAGATCTCAGAGTCAGTGGTGTTCTTTTTCTGCTGGCTCTTCCAGCTGGGTATGGCATGTATAAAATGTGATGGGCCTCCTATATTTCTGGCTTGTCCAATACAGTTTGGCCCAAAGGTGTAAGCTGCAGCTTTTATGTGCTGGGTGTCTCTGTAATAAAATTTGTGGGTCTATTGGGATAATTTTTCCAGTCTACAGCATTTGTAGCAATTCTTTGAATTCAAGTTTCCTAATGATAGGATGTCATGGTTTTTAAAGTATAAAAAATGTTACATACTGAGGTAAGGGAGGGTTTAATAGTTTGTCAATGGGAGCAGTAATCTATGTTGCACAGTACCTGCTGGAGACAAAGTCTGTGGGCAGAATCTTTTGTGTACAGGATAAAACAGGAAAAGGTGAAGGCAGAGTCTGGAGGGAAAAAAAGGCATTCATGCAAAGCAATAATTATGTGGAGTAAGATGTAGTTCCAAGGAATGGAGTTAGAGGCTTTTTGGCAAGTGGGAAAGCTGAACCAGGTTCCCTCAGCAATATAGAGGATTCTTCTCTTGTTTGGCATCAATAAAACAAAAAGAGTGAAATATGTCATGAATGAGCTACAGAAAAGAGAATATGTGAGACTACATGAGAACTAGAATTTCCAGAGAGATGTAGATGGGTTATATTTGGGATTTTACATTATGTACTCTAATGGTTTGCTAGTGTGATTGGCATGACAACTCCTATGTTCTTACTGGAGCAGTAAACACCTGGTTTCTTGTGCTGTCAAAGAAAATGAGTGGTTAAGTCAAGTCAATCTGTGTGTTCATTTATTGTAACTGAAAAGGAAAAGTAGGATGTCAGAGCAACATATACCATTATCCCCATACTATGAATAACAAGTATTTGGTGAAGACCAGTGATTTACTATTATACAGTTACTTTGAGAAATAATGTTTACTAAAAGGCCATGTGTTTATTAGCATTTGTGATTGCCACAGTTTACCATGTAATAAAAGCTTTTCTTCTGCCTATATCAATATATTTTAAATAAGGAAATGATGAAGAAGAGAAGAAAATAAATATGTTAGAGAGGTGGCATGCATGAGATTGGGATAATACTACTGAACAGATTTTGTTGCTTAACTAGAGTTAGAGGTATTTCGTCTTGAGATCTGTTTATGTAGTGTAACCAGTGTTATATGACATCCTCTGTGAGACTCCAAAGATGACGTAAATTGTAGATAGAATACAATAATAATTGTGTGCACTTAACTCATTTATTTAGAAACATATGGGAATTAAAACCTGAGAATGTGAATTCTTAATCTAGATTACTTATGGTAGGCGTGTCTGTCTAGTTTCTGAAGTTATTGAAAGAGTCTGTAAGAAAAGGGCAGCAAACTGTTAGGATCAAAGATCACTTTTAATTTTTCAAAAAATACTGTGAAGCTATCACTTGCATTAATAAAAATTAGATTTTACATTAATATGCTAGGCAAATATTTAACTGATGTGCTTAAATTAGTGTAATGCCTGCAGAAAACACCTGAATGTGTAGTTCTTAACACTGAACAAAACACTGAAGAATGTTTTTTCTAAAATCCTTCAAGCTGCCACTAGATGGTGATACTAACTTTTAAACAGGCTGAATTTAGTCAGCTACGTTACTGTTCTCGTTAAGAGCAATACAGAAAACACATTTTGGGTTCATACATATAGTTTAGAAGCAATAATATCCACCAACTACTATGTGAAATTGGAAATAGAAAAACTGTAACCATTTTTTTTAAATTTCAAAATCGGTTTTAGAGCCATTTCTGAGTAAAGATCATTCAACCATATCCCATCCTTCTTATGCCCTTCTTTAAAATGCATTCTGCCTTGTGTACATTAGTGAGGACATGAGTGTCATGTAGCTACCATTTTGTACTTCAGCATTAAAAAGGACAATGCTAGTCATTTTCTGGGACATTTCAGAAAGCTACAAAGTCGTTGGAACAGAAATTTATGGACATGCTATGTTCAAGTATCATTTGTGCAGCTCAGTGCAATAGATTTTGCTTTGCAGATTCAAACTGGAATATTTGACACTGAGAAAAGCATGCAGCTTCATGGAAACACACTTCATATGTAACATGAGCTACACTTTATAAATTCTGTTCCGTAAAATGTCTAATGAAGCAGTAAAGTACACAAATACATTTTTGCTGAAAAAGCACTACTTAATAGTTTCGAGTTCCAAGGATAGTTAGGAAAAAAAGTATTTCACTGATTTTAGTGATATCATCAAAGCAGCAACAAATTCCATTAATTTTGCAGCAGACAGAATTTTACCTCTGAAGCTTAAAGCATTCTTTGGGTCCTAAACAACATGTGGTTTGAAAGTAGACCAACTATTCCATGCTCTTTTTCTTCCCTCCATCCCCTTTGTTCATCCCAGCCTCTAAAGGCTGCAAACAATTCTTATTAAAACCTAGCAAAATCTGTATAACTGCAACACGTGCAACTAATGAATATTTTATGCTAGTGTCATCCTCTAGCATGTTGGAAGTTTTTTACTATCTGTTCTTGGTAATTCGTGTGTTTAAAGCTCTGTTGATAATGGACAATTTTCCCAAGAGCTATAGATAATGCTGCCACCTGTGAGACTTCTGGTCTGCTCATAGATGTAACAGAGACTATACAATTCCCTCTGTTAGTGACAATTAATCTTATGTGTGCACATC